AAGAGTTTGATAAATTTTCTAGTTTGAGAGAAGAAGTTAGAATTGAAAACTACCTATTTTGTGGCTTGCCATGATTTAAGCTTAGAAATTTTAGCTATTTCTAGTTGTCTAAAAAGTTTAAGAGAAAGAGATATGTTATTCAAAATCATTGAGATTTTGTGCTTTTTTTTTTAGCTTTAATTTGGAGTGAGAAAACTATTTTCACATCCCAAAAAATGCATTTGCTTTTCATGATTTCATAATACTTATGCACCATTGTTCCTAGTGAATTGTATCCTGTTTCCCTGGTATCCTTTTTTTTCTATTCTTATCTGGTTTAATATGTGATTTGGTATGCTTCACTCTGATCTCTTTCAGCCCCCTTTGTTTTTCCCTGATCAGTGTTCTGTGACATGTACATTTTGCTTTCAGTTTTCATTCATTAAAATGACATTTCTCATCTTCTGCTTCACTGCACTGTTGAGGACTTGCCACTTCTTTTCTTCACCCTCTCTGTTCTTACTCATGGCAAATGAAATAATAAATGAAATCAAAAACCCTGCTATAGGTACCTACAAACCTTGCATCCAGAATTTGACTACTTCAGACATCACTTGGAAAAGTGAGGTTTTGTGGCAACATGGAGACGATGGCATTTTTATAATGCTGAAGAGGAAACTGGGCATTTATGTCCTTGGGAAAAGGTATTTCAAGGCAAATTATCAGCCACTTTTCTTTGGCTGAAGATCTGTTGTTTTGCATTTCTGGAATCACTTATTAAATGAACATAAGAGTCAAGTTCATCAAATGACACCTGCTTGAATAAAAAATGGTAGTAGCCTGTTCTGAGGACAATGTTTTAGATGTTGCTCTCCGTCAGAAATGTCCTACAGAAGGTAATTACTCTGAGGAACGCCGGGGCAGACAGGTCTACCACCCCTTTCACCTGGGTCAAAGTATATCTTCTCTTTCTGAACAAGATGATATTGATTTGCTCTCCCTCCCTCTACTGCTTTATCTATTTTTAACCAGGTTCAATCTCCTAAAACCTCAGTGATTATTATATCTGTATTTGGGCCAAACATGTTGTCTGGTGGCACAACAGAGCCCTGCTAAAGTCACAGTGCACTGCAGTGAGTCTGGAGAGACCAAGTGAGGAAAAGTGGGTAGGCAGTTTTAAATATCGCCAGTGACATGTTCCAAAAATCTTCTCCACGATGGGATTTTCTGGATGATTTTCTCCCAGTGTGAAAACTGAAGGTAAAAAAAAAAATTAAAACACCGCTACAAAGAAAATGTAAATCTATTGTGAAAACACTTAGTATCTTTCTAGTCTTATGCCTCAGGTCTCTCTCTGTGTTTGTCTCATGAAATCAAAACAGAATGTGCCAAAAAAAAGGAATATTTTATTATAATCTTTCAAAGGTCTTTTTGTTTTGAAAACTTAAATGAAATCATAGTTAAACCTGTAAAACTGAGAAAATTCAGGTAAATTACTTAAATTACCTACTGTTCTGTAACAGAATTTGTTACAGGAAAATGTTACAAGGTTATAGGTTATTTTACAAGGAAAACCCAGTATTAATTGACTGGAAAGGCTGGTTTCGGTCTACATATTAGTACACATAAACTGGGAAAAAGAGTCAAGTGAAGCATAGAAGCAGACTTTGAAACTGCAGTAGTATGAAAGAACATAATAGAACAGGATATTACGTAATCAGATATATAATATATAGCAGAAACTTAATTTTGTGTAATTGCCAAAATAGCAGTTTAGTGTCAAATAATGAACGATACTGTAAAAGGATTAGTCTGATACTGTGTTCCAGTTCATAAATGTCACGATTTATTGTTCCATAGCTTACATATTTTTTTAGGTGACATAACAGTTAATTTTCACTTCTTGCATACAAATCCTTGTATTCATTGACCAGACAAATTGAAGTCTTGCCTTAAAGATTGTCTAAATTTTATATACCTGAATGAGTCAACAGTGAGATTTTCTCACGTCTCTTTTCCATCTTAGTGTTTTGAAAGGGAAATAACAACTTTTTTTTTTATCTCCAAGCCTATGCACTTAAGTCAGATTCTGCCATAAGAAGCAGTTGGCCTTGGGGAACTTTATGCTATGTGGTTTTTATGGACTTCATGGAATTATTAGTGGCATGACCTGCCACTCACACTCACTGTAAGCAAGCATGGGAGCATAAAAGCACAAGGTGTATTACAGCATTTGTACTGAAATAAGCCACACTTTAGAGTTATGTTGAGCCTCACCAGCGTGTGATATTATTAGCTACCATTGTTCTTCACGGTGCTGCTACAGATCTCAGAGGTACTGTAGGGACTGGATGCCAGATCTCCAAAACAGCACAGCAAGTGCTTGCACACATCAATAACGATCAGGTTTTTATATTGTCCATGAAGAATGTGGAAGACAGGAGGAATCGTTGATGCCAAATGCATTGAATCTGTGGCCTCATGATTTAAGATACTTATGTGGCAAATGAGCAGCTCTGTATTCCTGGTTCATAGTTACTTGCCAGGTGACTGCTTTCAGAGAATCAGCAGAAAATATGTACTTTTTTTTTAAATAGGTATTTAATAGTAGGTTATTATTTTAGCTTTATAAGGAACTATTTTTGACTTCCACAGTGATCTCACTAATTACTACCATCTATTGCACTAAGGTCTTTCCCCATGCACGAGCTGGTAACAGTCTGTATTTCAAGTACAGGATACATGTTCGATCAACACAAGGTAAAAGAATCATTAAATATTTATATTGCTGTATTCTGCCTGTTACCAAGCAGCAATACTGAAGCCAGGAAGGAAGTCCACGGGATTTCCCTTTTTCTCTTTTTTGTTTTTCCCCTATTCTCCTTTTGCTCTTTTCCTTCTGCTGCTGTCCAGGTTTTATGCTCTTTGGTGGTGAAATGGCGAGAAACAGAGAACTCTATGGAGGAAATGCAAGAACGACAGGTAAAACTGCAAGTGTCCGAGCCAGGGGTGAACTTCGCATAGGCTACAGAAGGCCAGACTTTCCTTAAGTTGTAGAAAAATCTCTTTGTTAGAAATACCAAGCTACACATGAGAAAAGGGCAACTGTGGAAGGTAACAGTCCTAAAGATCTAAAAGATTGTGTTGAGTATGTGTGTAATGGGGAGGAGCTTAAGTCACAGGGTTTCAATTTGTTTTGAATTTTCTTTTCAGTGTGCGGAGCCCTGCCTAGTGGATTGAAGCCTCTGGTTTAACAGTTTGTTGTCCTTGTTTACTTTTCACAGGCTGATGAGAAGCTGTCCTTCCACAGCCAGGGGCCTCAGACTGAGACCCAGTGCTCTGGAGCTTACAGAGAAAGAGAGACTCCTTTAGAAAGCAATCTAAACCTGGAGGTTTACTCATTAACTTTTGCTGGACTGATGCCACCCAGAGCAATCCCACGTTCTGTTGTCCAGGGTATGTTTTAATGAGAGAAAAAAACCAAACAAACCACCCCAAAATATCTCCACTGGTGTCTTTTATTAAGTAATGCAAAATACAGTATTAATTATGACACTGCATGCATTTTAGACAATATAAATGCAAGCCTACAGAAAATGTGACAAAGAAACCCTCAATTACTTTTGAGGTAGTATACAAGGAAAAATAGGAAAGCAGAAACACAGTGGATTAAAAGAACAAAATATTAGTATCACTTTGTGCATACATTAGTCACTCATAAATACATTTGTATGAAATAACTTAAGATACAATTCCATTCTCGTTAAAAAATATACTTCTTCAAATTCACCGTTCTTGTTTGGTTGGTTTTTTTTTTTTTCACATGACATTTTATGGTATTTTATCAGGTGGATTTATTTTTTTATCACCGCCGTCATGATTTTACCCTTTTCCTCCAAGAGTTTAGGCACAGATGGCCTCATGCACAAAAAATAAATAAGAAACCTGCTTGAAGGGAAAAGAATTCTGCTCAAATAGCTTAGGATAGTCTAATAAATACCATTTTGTTTATAAAAATATTTCAGGTTTATAAAAGAGGGGAGGGGACGGTCTCCCACGTGGAAAGGATGTTAAGTGAAAAGTGCTGTATAACGTTTTTGAAGAGATTTTGTTTTAAACATATAGTACCATTATGAATATATATTTTATAATAATCCTGTTTCTTAGAAGCATATTATTCACTAGAAGTATCAAATGCTGTTTGCTTCCTTTTGTTTGTTGTCTTATTGCCGTTTTGGAAGATGCCTAGTTCAGAAGGGTTCCGTATAATTGTGCTTTTGTAAGGCTGTCCTTCCGACTCAAACCAGTACTCCCAGTCCGTTGAAACTGCTGCTGTTTGCTGTGAATACCCGAATGGCTTCCTTGCTCCATGGAAGACTGGTGGATTTCTGAAGCCTCCATTGAACTCTGGTTGAGGGACTCTGCTGAGCTGTTGGGGCTCACGTCCACGTATTCCCTTTTCAATACCGGGCTATTTTCGATGTTTTTGCTACTGCATAACTGGACGGTGATCCTTTCATTTTTTTGGTCTCTTGATTCTTTTGTTTTGTAAGCTGGCAATTTGTCCTGTTTACAGCTAGTGCTGATGTCAATATTCAGGCCACTGTCTGTTCTCAGGAAGCAAGAATCCACGAGTCTGCTTTGGCAGATATCGTCTCCCTCTGAGCAGCTATCTGCTTTGTAACTAGCGTAGATGGGGCTTGTTCGGCTGTCTCCCTTCTTAATAGGGCTGCTGTAGTACTGCTCTGAAAAACTGCAGGGCGACAGCCTGCCAGTGTTCCTGTAAGAGTACGCCCCAATGTCCTCCACGCTCAATTGTCTCCATCGCCCAGGCAAGTCTTCTTCTGAGAGGTGGGTGCTCCTGCACTCGTTCCTCATTTTCGGATTCGCTAAAGCCTGCTGCGGTGCTATGGCTGAGAAATGAAAAGGTTCGTTTGCATAAGGAGGCAGAGTCCTAGTAAAAGTGGGCGAGTTCTCATTGTCGTCAGCAAGCTCCATGTGCTGTGCAGGTTTGGACTTGGCAAACCTGGGACTTCCCTGATGCTCATAACCTGCAGGTGACTTTCTTTCAAACAGTTCGTCTCGGTTGCTCATGTAGATCGCTTGCTGAGAGGCTGTCAGAGTGTTGGCTTGGGCGTTCTCCTTCTCCTCGGATGTGACGCTGAAGCTGGAATAGGAGCTGGAGGTTGGCAGAGAGGTAATGTACTCCGGGAAGGCTTCGTGAGAGAAGCTGGAATGGAAACCGTCTTCTTCAACAGTGCTGTCTGTGGAGTTCTGGGACCTCAGGAACCCCACATCTTTCACTTGTGTGTCCACACTCTGCCTCCTCTCCCTCCTCCTCTCCTCCGGGCAGTAAAGGGCGGTGTCGCTGCAGTAGATGTCCGACTTGTACTGGGGCCTTTGTGCAAGTTTTCCAGCAGAGTCCTGAAAATTGAGATCCCTTGTAGATGGGCTTGACAAGTGTGAAGACAAGCTGTTTGGATCTGGCTTTTCCAGTACTTTGGCAATGACGCAAGTGGGTATGGTATCAGCGTAAGATGTGTGGCACAAGGGGACGGAAAGGCTGCACCCGTGTTTTTCCAGATGGATGCTGACTCTTTCCTGAAAGTCAGATGGCAACTGTAACACAAAGAGATGGCAAAGGGGACAGGAGAAAAAGGTGCATGTCAATACTGGTGTCTGCTTGGGCTTATACAACAGTGACAGATGGGTGCTGTTTATGACATTGTATATCTCAGTCTACACGGTTCTTTGACTAATATGATGGCCGCAATCTTTTTTGTGCATTTCTGCTCACTCTACATGGTTCTTTGACTAATATGGCCGCAATCTTTTTTGTGCATTTCTGGAAACAAACGTAATCAAATGACTTTCGTTTATTGACATTTGGAAGTCTTAATCTGCTTCCCCTCACGGAAAACAGTGTGAAATTGAAATGTTTCCTTCCAAGTTAATTCAGGTTGGATAGGACTGATGTAAAGAATGTAGTAAACAACGATCTTAAAAAGGCTGTCAGGAATTACAGCCTACAGCAACACTTTCCAGACTGTGTGCATGGGTGCAATTTGCAGCTGGAGTGTGTGAGGGGGTTCAGAGGTCTCTGCTGGGGTGAGGAAAGAGGAGGGAGAAATCAGATCTATTCTGTTCTTCTTTTGCCTTTCTTCAAGCTCGTCTTGCCTCCAACCTGGTGCCAAATTGGCTCCTGCCCTTCAGCGTGGCATTTGATAAACAATGCTGTTTGAAGAGGCAGGAAAGTTGGTTTCACTGACACTTAAAAGCAACAGTACTGGCTGTGTGACAGGAGTGTTCCTGTGCTGGGAAGAAGCAAGTCAAACCGGCTACCTTGTCCCAGCACTCGGACACTGCTTTGTCACATCCACCCTCCATATAAGCCTCAACATCCTCCCCTCTTCCAGCAGCCACTACTTGACTGCTTTTCTAGTTTCTTGCTACACTGGTAGAAATAAGAACCACGACCCGAATTTACATTATGAGTCCTGTGACAGACTAGTTAGAATTGATCAATATGTCTGTTACGCATCAGAGACCATATACTTTTGGGGGAAGTCAGGATCAGCTCTGTGGATCTGTTCCACGTGCCATTCTATCATGTGGACCAGAAGAGACTGGGAGCCCGCATTCCTCGTTGCTGCTCAAAAGCCTGGAAGGTAATGCTGACAAAGGTGTCACCAAGCAAGCTTGCCAGTCAGGTTTTATCTGCACTGTTCATTTCAGAGCTCTGTCAATGATCAGACAGTGATATGAGAGAGTGCTGCGTGATGGTTGTCTCTCAGTATTTCTTAATGGAAATCAAAAGAACTCATGTTGAGACTAAGTTTTGAGTTTGTGACTGTGATAGCTCCTTTGATAGCCATGTTGATTTACACCACTGAAGAATTTAGCCCCTGAAGGCTTGGCTGAACTCTGATTTCCTCAGCACTTTCCTTTTACAACTAGAAAACGAGTTCCTCTTTCCCACATAATCAGTGGTTACCCTTATAGCCCCAACAATCACAGTTTCTCTAGAGGAGTGGTTTGTTCTTCCCCCCACCCCATTTTAGGCAAGAGAAATGTAAGATGCCTGCCCCTTGTAATGATCTCACATTGTATAAGATATGGAGCTCCTATTTTAGCTTCACTGGGAAGTTTTTAAAATTGGTTTAATCCCCAAAACTCAATGTAATCAAACTATGGCATGTTGTGAAATGGCATTCTTGTTAATGTGGAGTAGGATGAGTGTTTTTTCAACCAACAGACCTTCCAGGATATTTTGGATTAATCATTATGTTGTTAATTATCTCATATGCCTTCCATTGGAAATAAAGAGTACGACATTGCCAATCTGCTGGCAGACAGCGATATTAGTCATAGTAAGCACAGATGCAACAAAGATTGAATAAACAGGTTGTAAAATAGAGCTGCTGTAAATTGCCACAGAAATGAGGAAAATAAATACAGTCCATTTAACGTGAAACTGCTGTATGGGGCAGCTCTTATTTTAGTATCCTGTAACACCACTGTTTGATCTATTTTATATACATTACTTAGATTATGAAATGTGTTAAGAAAAAAAACATTATTTTCTGGGCGTTGCACTGGAAACTGGAATTACTAAAATGATATTGCTGTCACATTACTATATTGTACTACAGTTTCAGCTTCTGGATAATATACAATACTTTGTCAGGCAATATTTGCATTTGTAAGGAATTTATTGGCTGTGACAGCACATTCACGCTTGCTAAATTAATAAATACTTGGACTTATGAGAGGAGACATTGCTTATTTAATCGTGTATGACAGTCTGGGAAATTGTGGGGAGATCCCACATTTGTGATAGATTTCTGCAAAAGTGAACCACTAAGTACTTTTAAGGTCCTAATTCCTGCTAACAGGTGGGGTGGTTTCAAGTGTGAGTGATGTCATGATAACTCCTGGATATGAATTGCTAAGGGAAGTAATTTACTAGCAAAAAATAACAGGACCAGGATAAGGCTTAATTTGGAAGTTCTGTCTTAGTTCCAGAAAGTCATTTCCCATTTGACAGAAGGGTCTCGCTCTATCCTTATTTACCAGGGTTGTTTAGTGCTCTGAAGCAGTCTACTGGCTTAGAAATGGTTTATACATTCCACATTCAATTTGGCATTACTCCATCACAGAATTGCACAAGAGAGACCATTGGCGGGGGGGGAGGAGGGGAGGGGCGACATTAAGTTGATGGGATTGATGAAGGGAAGGCTGTTCTCCATGACCTTCACCGAAGTGATACACATGAGGAAGGTGCTATTGCTTTGTGTAGGGCCTGCATCCCCAAAGACAGTCTTTTTCATGAAGATAATATTTGCCTCCCCTTTAAGGAGTCTGCTTCTCAGGCCTAGTTTCCTTGGAAGCAAGGATTATTAATTAAAGTTTACACCTTGGAAATCAATCATTCAGTGCTCTGGTTGCTTTAGAAAAAGATATTTGTTCTGCCAGTCCATTTTAAAATTCAGGTTTAGAAATTAGCTGGACTGGAAAATAGCTTCAGGAGGAAAATTGATTGTATCAGAATCTCTGATGCCTCTCATTTCCCTGCTCTCACCCTTTCCCCCGGCTCCCCCCTCAACGTTTTGCAGTCAAGAGGTCTCAGCGCTTTGGTTTTGCTAAAACCTTTATTTTTCATGTGATCAGCACTAGGCCCGTTCTACCCGATAGCAGAGGTTTTGGGGAAGAGAGTCCCTCCAAATTCCATCCCTAGCTGTGATTTTTGTCAGCACCTCCCTCAGCTGTACAGAATACCCACAGGTGCACAAGCCCTTCTCTTGCTTAAAAAGGTGGCGGTGGGGGTGGGGAGATGTGGAAATCAAAGCCTTAAGGGCAAACAAGCTTGGAATTGATACATGTAAAATAACCTGCTTTCCATAAAATATTTATTTCCTTGAATATTTACCAAGTTCGGTCACATTACCTCCGAAAGCTTATGTGCCCTGTCGTAATTCTTGCTGCACTGGAGCAACTGAGCAGCTAAATTGCAGTCCTTCCTATAGAGCTCCTAGAAAAACAAAAAAATAGCTTGTTTTTTAAAGTTTGCAAATAGCTTGAGGCTTTCAGCCTTTCTCCCACACCTGAGCAATCTTTTAAAAATTGACTTTGGGAAAATTTGAAGCATACTTCAACTTTTAAATACATTAAGATTCCGTGTTTCTCACACGGTCCCGAGATATTTGCCCTTTTGCTCCGTGAGGGCTGATAAAATTACTAAAAAGAAAATGTTGAGAACTGTTACTACAGAACAGTAATCTGCATTTCAAAAGATGCATACTTACCGTTAGGAACTGGACTTTGTACTGTTAAAATGTATGACTCTACGACGGCTAAAATAAACATGATCTTTTAAGCAAAAAGAAAATTTAAGAACAGACAATTTTTACTATTATCCAGATCAACACTAAGATACTACTTTAGAAAATGCTTAAATAATCTTATGAGACTGTGGGAGAAATTCATTGCAGAAATATACATTGTATTGTTTTTGAAAAAAGTGGCCTATGTTTCTTTATGAAACTTTCTTGCTGGTTTCTGTCTCCTTTCATATCTTGCAGAATGCAGCTATACAAATATATTAAATCTCACTGCAAATATTTGATGCTGCAGAACAGGTTATTTTTACTGGGTAAGAAATTACCATGAGAATTCCACACAGGGAAAAAGGAATTTAACCAAGCCGCTTATACTATTTTTGTTTCGAATGGCTCCCACAGCCTATTTAATGGGAAAAATCAGTACACAGGTTTGCCCTTCATCTAAATTTAATTTAGCCCACATGGCTGTAACTGTATCCTTTAACCAGTCTCTTTGGGTCCTTGGAGGTAAGAGTTGTATGTTGCTTCTCCTGATCTAGTTGCCACTAAACCCAAAGTTGGCTTCAGAAATTTTCTTTATAGATGTGCCTAGATGAGATAGACAAAGCATAAAGGTACTACGGATGCCAGGCTGTGTTAATCTGTAAAAATTAGAAAATGTTTATAGAGAAAAGGTGTTGAATACTGAAATGTTATAATTTTATTGCATGAAGATTTTTACTGTTCCACTTGTTCTTTTAAAAACCGATACAGAAATTTTCTGTGAAAAGGAAAGGTAGAAATTCCCTGTTTTGAAATACCATTTTAAAGGTATCCTTTAGTAACAGGTGTAACATGATGTTCCTGGGAGTCTGTGAGGCATGGGGGGAGTAAATGTATTTTTCTTATGATCATTAGTTCATTATATCTACATATTCGGGGGCCTTTAGATACCTCTGGTTTGTAAGTTTTTTATACTTGCCACTTCTGCCTTAAATGTCCTGGGGAAATACATTAATTTATGTAGGTCTTAAATTTTATATCAGTACAAACTATTTTTACTCCTGAAAACAGATGCAAACAGTAGGAATCTAAAAATTCAATTTAGAAGCAAAATCTGTTGCATGTGATCCTGACATGTTACATGCACAGTAAACACATAATATATTGCTGCACAAAGTACGGTGCAAACCAGTACTCCAAGTCCCGGATGGCATTACTAGTAGGCACAGAAAAATGAAATCATTCCAAAATCTAATCCTTTCTTCAAAAGCTGTGAGGCTCTGTTTCTGTGAAGCGGTTGTCATGGAGAGTACAAAAAGCACTTCTGACACTTTATTTTTAGCAGCTTCGAAAATTACTACTGAAAAATTACATGCAAGTTGAATGTGCCACGTGTGCTTTGTCTTCAACATGCTGGGACATGCCCTGCGACTGGAGGGACTTTCTGTCCTTTAATGTTTCTCGGAATGGAAACTGGCAACTAGAACAGTAATCAGCAATTAATGCCAAAAGTGTTTTCCATGTTTTTCCAACAAAAGTGTAATTTTACATGTCTGTCAGAAGAATAAGGGGAAATATAATCAAAGGAAGAAATATTGGCAAGACAAAAACATGTTCTCCCCATGTAGGTTTCTTCAGTTTAACACTGCCTCTACTTATTAGGTATAATATTAATCGTTTGTTTCACAGTTCTTTACTTCAAAATTTGAAAATCAAGCTTTACTTTTATTAGTGATGCTACATAACTAAGGGCAGGATTTTGTCTGTGAGTTGACCTCAAGTATGAAGAAGTGTTGCTGTTATGCGAGGCTTCTGGACCATGCTCTAATGTTCAGAGTAGTTCAAAATAATTCTTGGAAGAAGAGTATTCGTTACTCCAGACAAGGCTAAGCTACCTTTTAAAAACTATGACTATTGAAAACACTTCTTCAAATGTAGGCTCAAACCTGACTTCATGAAGTAGTGTAAATGCATGAATACTTCCTGGGAGAGTTTTACAATTCCCTCCCCTCTATTTTAAAACTGAAATAACTCCACTGATTTCAGCTGAATTAGTCTGGCTGTATACCTGTGCTTCTAACACCTAAATGTTGCCCATTGCATTTACCATTTTCCATTAGTTACAGATATTAGAGTTATGAAGTAACTGTTGTTTCCGCACATTTTCAATAAAAGCAAAGGGTCAAACTGTGAACTCTTTGTTTCCGTTGGAAAGCTGTTAATTGCATAGGAACGACTGACATCAACAGGCATGTTAATGGGATCAAATGCTCCCTACTATGATTAAGAGTTCATATGAAATATGGGAAGATTGAATGCAAGATGCTGAAAAATAAGTGCTAAGAGAAACATGTCTTCTGTAGATGAATTTTTTATTAAGTGTCTAAGGAATGGCACAATAATGAACTAAATGCCTGCAATCTCCCTTTCTCTGCTGTCTTTTGAGGTTTGTCTCTGGAAGGTTCTCATGAGCTTGGTTGCCAGCTGCAGTACACATGCCAGTTTTCAGCAGCGTTTAGTGACATGCAGGGTGACAATCGCCAGAGAAGTTCCCTGTTTCGTGCCACACAGAGACAGGTAAATTGTTACACATGAACCACAGCTGGGGAAAACCTGGCTCCCGCTCCCTGCAATGGTCTGACCACCAGGTTGGGTCAATCCTACCTTCTGCTAGCAGACTTCCCTTGTGCTGGGCACCCCATGTCGGTGAGCAAAGACTGAAGGACCAGAGGGACTGCAGGAAACGTAGTGCTCTACACTGTGCCTAAAATCCTTACGATGAATCCTCCATCCACATATGTGTTCACATAATAACTCTGATCATGCGCTTCCACCAGTTTGCTGTACTAGACTGAAACCCATGGCAAAATCAATGCGGGAATATTGCCATTTCTCAGATATATTTTTTTTTTCTCATCAGTTTTAGGTTAGACATAAGGAGAAAAGTATCAACGAAAAATCTCACGCCAACCCCATAGCTTAAGGAGAGCTGAATTTACAGAATGTTGGGAACACCACATATGAATTTTAACTGTCGAGGTGACAGGTTACATTTTATGTAAACAATAAGAGATTATTCTATAATTCCAAGGGCAGTACATGGCATAATTTGTTTCTGAATATAATCTCAAGACGTATCCAAAATTAAATACTTACATTGTCTTCTGACAACTTATCTATTGTCACCTTGGCCTCTATTAAGTGATTATTGAGTGCAATTATTTCGTGGCTCAAAGCCCGTTTTTCCTCTTCATAATGTTGACCCTGTGTAGAAAATGGAGTAGTCAGTATTTTTGCTACTGTCAGAATATTTCAAAAAAAGGCCCAAAGGTTGATGTCATTCTCAAATCCAGGGAAAAACATAACAGACCAATAATATTTTTTTTTCTATTTTTTTTTCTTTTTTTTTTTTTCTTTTTTTTCTGTTTTCACGCAGCAGATGAGGCAATGTGCTTTGGAAGTATGGAGGTCAAATTGAGCTCACAATTAGGAACCTTCACAAAAGGCTGTAGCTAGCCTGTGCAAGGGCATTCGATTGAGCACCAGCTATTCCTTCTCGGTCACAAGGCAGGGCTTCTAACCTGGAAGGGGCTTGGGCTGCTCTTGGCTTTTCCTACAAGAACGTTTCATCAATGCCATTAGCTCCCATTCTCATCAGGGAGGAAGAACAATATTTAAAAAGGAAAGTAGCTGTGTTTGAGCCAATTTCTTTTTAGCTGTTGACCGCGCTGGCAGCTTTAAAAGCCCTGAATGAGGTTGTTCCTTTCTCAAGAAGAATGTTTGCCTGATTGCAGGGTTAACACTCATTAGCAGAATGTGACCCACTGTGGGATAACAGGAAAATAGTCTGATTCAAGTTCTTGCTGCCCACTAATTTAATCTTGTTACCAGTAGGCTGTAACTCTTTATTATAAATGCAAAGAAATCAGCGGGAAAAGTAAAGTGCCACTGGCCTTTCCCATACTGTGTCCCATTTTCATATTGCAGTGTTTATTGCACCACCTCATATATCAAAAATTATTTTGTAGCAGTCTTTTATAACTCTGCCTCCAGCCTTGTGTTAGCATTAAAAAGTATGGTAGCTTCTGAATGCTTTGGCTGAGATCAAGGCATCTTTCTTGCCCTCAGAGCTGTACAAGACCACGATAACAAGAAAGTTTGCCAATTATCTGGAGGGATCTTTTAGATAGTGGCGTTGCAATAAGGACAGAAAGTAGGATAAACTTTCATGTACACCCATTTTGTTTTGCGAACTCAATCCAGCAACAAATTCACTATCTCACTTCCCATTCTAAAATTGTTAGAGTAATTTGTGAAGGACTTTCTCCAGCAGGTTGATTGTATTAGCTACTGAAATTTCCCAAATGCCATATTACCAGGGTCACACAAAAATCTTCCATCAACCCACAGCCGGCATTGTCAGCTAATTGACAGCAATGGGAGTTGTGTGTTTTGAAGTCCGAATGAATATCAAGGTTAATTACGCAGCTGTGAAGCACCGTGCTATATTAAAGAAGGGTGATTAAATTGGAAGCCGCAAATCTCATCCTAAGTTTCTATTTAAAGAAAAACACCTTCTCAAATGGTCTCAGTAAACCCATGGTTTGCTGTAAACAGCACAGATATGACTGAATTCTCTTTGTGAAGGTCTGGACTGGCCTGTTTTAATGTCAGCTTTTCTATGGACCATCTCTTCCCCGCTCTTGCAAGACCTCTGTCCTGACAGCCCAGATGTGCCAGGAGGCCAGCTCAGGCTTGACACCTCTCCTCTCTTCCTTCACATTGACCGGGTGCTCCCGCGAGCTGCCTGGGGACTATATCATGGAAAGCCAAAGCATAGCTTTGAGAGCTTGCGAGAGCTGCAACCTCGCTGATTTTAACAAGACACGGGATCTTTTTAATCAGGTGGATTGACATGGTTTTATATGAGGCCTTTAACCCTCATTGATTTTATTGTGAACTAAACAACTAGGCCTGGACATCTGGGCACCTCTAGAAAACTGTCTCCTTTGAGAGTATGACTGAAGATTACATTTTCAAAGGTATTTAGCTGCGTAATGAGGTAGACAAGTGCTATATTGGCGTCTCCAATGAGCTGAGTGCCTGGGAAAAATGTGTCCCCTCGATTTTCCAAGTGATTTCATGCTTTTGAAGGATCCAGGTCCACTGAGTACAGACTTAATCTTCCAAATAACCATTTGTATTGAAGATTTTATTAATCCTTGTATGACAAGTTGTCATCAAGGCCAGGGCAGCTGATTTGTAGGACCCCCCTTTGCTCTAAGTCTCTTTGATTTCAATGAGTGGTGCTCTTGCCTAACCAAATTGAACTTGACTCTATATTTTACAGTTCAGGAAAGACCATCTGATCAAGGATTTATAGTCTTCAGCACAGAGAGGAACTCATAAAAGGGCAGCAGATTCAGGCTTTGGAAGCAGTACTTTCCATTGCATTGAGTAATGCTGAATCTGACTGAGTTATGGTTTCATTTTATTTCAGTTATGATAACTTTTGGGCTGATGTTTTCCAGACTTTGTATCTGACCAAGTGTGGCTTTAGAAAATATTTTCTATTTGTTGAACTGTAAAATTTGCCTCAGTCCAAATTTACACTATACAGGTCAGCACATAGACACCAAAGTCATAAACATCTCAGCAGCGCTGTGGACAGGGAATGAGAAAGAAAGGCCAGTCCTAGGCTTCTCCACCAGTATATTTTGGCGTATTTATCTGGAAACCAGTGTTGTTGAGATGAGCAAAGAGTCTGTCCCACTGTGGCAAAATGAGGTAGCCTAAGGGTGGAAATGACCCTGAAAGGCTTTGGCATATTGTCCACATACTGTGTGTCCATCTTTAAAAGTTCAGGGCTTCAGCCGGATGTTATTGTGGTCCAGTGGTGGCAATAAGAGGACAGAGGCTTAATCCTGACATCATCCTGGGGAAAATGGTGCAACTGGAAGAGATGGCATGGTAGTACTGGATCACTACATTAAAAGGATGGCTGGTTACTGGGGACTGCAACTTTGAGTGCTCCAGTTGCAGTCAGACAATCATATTTTCAGCATCAGGTACAGATTTCAGAGAGGGATGAAAGGAGGACATGAATCATGATATCAATGCTATGATTGTGAGATTCAAATAGAAATGCTTATTTTACTTATAACTACTTTTGGCAGATCCCTCTATGACTGGTAGTTTTTAGATGCTTGGTCCTCCTGCTCTTGCATACGGCTGGTGACCTCTCCTCTCTCTTTTTGGCAGTGCTTTCTGCTCTGCAGGTGCTAGCAACCTGTCTCAAAACTCAATAACAGATTAAGTTAATGGTGTTATTAATATGCCAATAGCTTGCAGCTGAGCTGAGGGCTCCTGAAGTCCACTCCAAAAATGCCATCGCTATACACTGCAATGGGCTGAGCAATGGTGGATCTTTGTTCAGCAACCTTTGTTGAGTCAGCTCAGTGCATCTTGCCCCTGCCTCCTCCCCTGGCACAGAGCCAGCATAAAGGAATGCAGCTCCATAGTGTCTGATTAACTCGAGAGAACTGCAATCATGTGCCCACGTCTGAGTCAGATCAAATTTGTGCTGCTGGGTGACTCCAGCAGCACACAGCACTGATACTGATGTTGGGGGAACCAAGAGCTTGGAGCCCTTGCTCCTAGCTTGGATTTAGCATGAGCCTTACTGCTTTCTTCCCAGATCTCATGAAGGAATTTGGTATCTGCTCTTTGCAATGGGATCAAATGATACACCAAAAGACATCGTCTCTGTCTGGAACCTTGCTTTTCTTATAATTTGTATCTATCATAGTGACAATATCCCTCTAAGATGTGATTTTCAAAAGCATTTGGTACTGACAATATCCCTCATATCTTCACAGATCGATAAAAATAGAAGATGTGATTTTCAAAAGCATTTGGTATCATCTAGTCCCTGCACCTGTTATCCATGGTATAATGGGATGAAAAGAGTTTTGGTAGGTTGTTACAGCATGAAATAGTTAACAGATAAGTGTATTTCGGAAGGTAAAAAAAGCTGGATGAAAAGATCTGCTCTTCTTGTGTGTTAGTGGATCCACAGAGGTTCCTACTCTAGTTCTTCAGCAGAAATGGAGCAGCCTAAAAGTTGGCTGTCTCTCTGATAATGTTTCAGTCTCCCTTCAATGCTTCCCCACAGCTGGAGAGTGTCCTACCATAAAGCAGTGTCAGTCTATTAGTCAAGGCTAGGCTGCTTACTGTTGTCTCTGCTGTCCTGCGGGAGCTTTGAGTTGTGTACAGACCTTTCGAAATCAGTCTCAATTTTGCAAATGAGCAGTGCAGGTCTGTGGAAATGTCAGCCTTTTCAAACATGGCAAAGGAAATCTGTTCTTGATGTCGCTGCAAGGAACATTTCAACGCATAGCATTGTAAATGTTACTGTGAGAATAATATAATGGTAGCAGCGGCCATCAAGGCAGGGCAGCAGCTTTCTTTTGGAAATACCTCTTAATAAGCAATGCCTGAATGACAGACAGAAAAAGAGCAAGACTTGTTCTGTTACAAATACCACCAAAATGGCACTGGTATCCCACCCTGAATGCCTGGACAGAGGTTTGCTGCAATGGTTTTTTTGATATGGAATACAGGTAGAGCTTTGTTCACATTTTTTCTTTACTACTGTGCTTGCCCAAGAGGAAGACAGCACTTCCACAGGAGAAATTCCCCGCTGGGCCAGTAACACTGTTAATGCAGTACTTTCCCCCAAAGCACCAGTCATGATCTTTTCGTTGCAAATTTTACAGGTGCTGTAAGGTATCTGCTAAGCAACTGCAATGTATTTACGGTTGTACTGTGGATTGTAGCTGGCGAGCAAGTGCTTGTGAGGGATATAATCTCAAAACAAGGTCTGTATATTTTAAGGTGCTACTTTATAATCCCAGTGAAATTATCCTCTGAAGGATAAAACAGAGCAGTTCCAGATGACACAAAACTGGGAGGAGTGGCTGATACAGCACAGAGGGTTGTGCTGCCATCCAGAGGGACGTGAACAGGCTGGGGAAATGTGCTGACAGGAACCTCATGAAGTTCAACAAGGGGAAGTACAAAGTCTTGCATCTGGGTAAGACCAAGCCCGTGCACCAATATATGCTGGGGGCCACCCAGCTGGGAAGCAGCTTTGCAGAAAAGGACCTGGGGATCCTGGTGGATACCAAGTCAAACATGAGCCAACAGTGTGCTTTTGCTACAAAGAAAGCCAAAGGTAACCAGGGCTGCATTATAAGTGTTGC